GCAATACCACAACATGGCAACATAACAATATAATTCTTCCAACTTAATACAACATCTCAGCACAATATAAGAGCAACATAACAACTTACAACACAAATATAAATTGGCAACATGTCAACTTAAAAGTGTCAAAGCAATATAACAACTCAACATAAGGTCAGTTCTTCAACTTTAAGTGTAAGATCAACAAAAAGAACATTCTCTTAATAAAATAAAAATAACTAAACAATTGAATCAACTTCAATCACAACTTTCAACAACTAGTACAACTTACAACATGTATAACAATCTTAACATAACGACTTCAATCATAGCATAAACAACTTTAAACAACTAATGTGTCATCATGCATATCAACTTATGGAGAGATCTCCTACAACTTAGGTGAGTAGTTTAAGTGGCTAGATCCTACTAATTCACAACAGCTGGTATAAACAAGAAACAACAACTAACACTGTGGCCAGAAACAACGGTTACCATAAAGCTAGAAATAATGGTTAGTATAAACTAGATTGATTTCTTAGGTTTTGTCACTTAAACTAGGAAGTCTAGTACCATTATCAAGATAAAACATTTTGAGTATGGGTCTACCATGGTATTAGTCTGCAATACTAAGCCCCTTATGGGATTAGCCCACCAACTACCCTCCAAGTACTATATCCCTCTAATACTAGGCTAAAGACTGAGTGATGGAATCCTTACTTGCATCAACATGAGATGATGAGCAAGGAAGAGGATGCCTACTCCAAGGATCAAGTTCTTTAAAGGTGGCACAAGGTTTTAGGGTGGATGATGATGGAATGGACGAAAATAGAGGTTGGGTAGAAGGTGTTTGAGGAAATGCTTGAGAAAGGTACTCTAGGGTTGACTCACTTCATGATGATGAAGACCACTTCTAGGGTTGTTTCTCTCAAGGTGGACATGGGAGGGAGGTGGCCGAATTAGCCAAGGGTGACTAAGGAAAGATATAAAGGCACAAAAGGCTCTCTTTATATTCAATATCCAAAGTATTTACAAGGTGTGGTGCCTAGGGTATTTATAGGAGTGGGAGGCATCTAAGGTTGCATTTAGGGTGGCATGGCCGAAATTCACAATGCCAAATGCACACCAAATGAAACCCAAATTAACCCTAGATGCAACTTGGTGGCCAAGGATGGAATCTTTGGGTTTGGTTAGGCTACATCTAGGTGCATGATAAGACCATTCAACCTAGTGCTCTCCACTTGGGCCTAAGCCTTTCCAAGTCCAAAAATAGGTCCAAACACCACCAAAAATGCGTCTAGCTTTTATCCCACCCTAGTCAAATACCTTAGCCCAAAAATAAAATCCTATGATCTAAAACACCCCATAATACAAGGGTAAAATGGGGAATACAAAAGAAAATAAATCCTATGACTAAGATACCCCAAAATACAAGAGTAAAATGGGAAATACAAGTAAAATAAATTCTTAAGACTAAAATACCCCAAGATACAAGGGTAAAATAGGAAATCAAAGACAAGGGCAAAATAGGAATAAAAATAAATGCTATGCTAATAAAAACTTAGGAGCTAAGGTCCAAAAGTGGCCTCACTACTCCTATGGTTTTTCAACACTAACTCATTCCTTTTGCTTCCTTCAATACATCACCCCACCAACTACCCTCCAAGTACTATATCCCTCTAATACTAGGCTAGAGACTAAGTCCCTAGCTCGGTAATTTACTCGATTGGTCGCTTTATGCATGTGTTCCTTGACCTCGCCCACACATGGATACCACATAAAACCTAGAGGAGACAAATGAAAACAACTTATCCATTCAAAGGCCAACTTACCTATTGAAGGAATTCAATAGGACTCTCGAAGCATCGCAATGTATATTCGTATAATGAGATATTCAATTTTTGAAAACAATTTTATTCCCCTCTAGTTTTTATGTATCATAGTCAAGACATGTATCTAACCCAAATGCCTATAGCTTATCAACTTAACAACTTTAGCAACATGCAACTTATACATCTTTATCAACTTTCAACTTACAACTTCACAACATATTCACCATCACTCAACAAATCATCATTAAACTGTACAAACTTAAAGTAACATACATATTACAACTTAATCAACTTCATCAATTTTCATCTATAAACAATTTTAAATATCATCATTTATATCAACAATTCATCATATTTCAACATTTAATAAATTAGGATATCATACAACATAAGCAACTTACCTCAATAAACAACTTACAACAATAGGCAACTTAAGCAATGTGTGCTTCTTTATACAACATCATACATTACCATATGCTATAAGAGAATTAACTTACATCATTTACAACATGTAATCATCAACTAGCATACAATGATAACTTCTACATAACACAACACAATTGGAGTTTCACTAGTCCAATCAAACTCATCTTTATCTCATATAAAATTTAAAAAGGCTATCTACTACAACTCTTATAAAGACTTCACAACTCTTATAAAGACTTCTAGTTCTAACTCCATCATTTACTATATTGAAAATCACAAAAATCGCAACAATTTAGTTTAAAGTTGATAACTTGACCTTTTCTCACTAAAAATGTCATAATTTGAGTTATATACACGCTTTTTAGGTGATTTCAAAGCCACTTGAAAGCTAACACCTAGGCTACAACTTTTATGGAGACAACAAAGTCTAATTTGGAAATCACTGATCTGCTCAGCCCTTTCAAATTCGCTCAATGGATTTCTTCCAAAGACATCCCTCATTCTCATCTCCAATTCTGCTCAGCCATTTCAAAACTGCTTAGCAAATTTGTGATGAAGACCCAAGCTCACATACAAGATCTAAGATCAAATCTAAACCATCAAAACGATTCTAAACAACATATAAAACATGGAAACCAATTCAAATGCAACATTCATGCTCTTAACAACGAGAGATCAATAACTTTGAGTTTTGGATTTACCTTCCCTGGAAACCCCGCCGACTTCACAACTTCAAAAATCATCTAAAAAACAACAAATCAAGCCACCAATGGGCAAAACAACAACAAATTCAACATGGAACAACAAACAATAAAAAAGAACAAGCTCCATTTACCTTAAATTGCTCGAAAACAAGAAAAGGAAGAAGGAACAATGAAGAACGAAGCTCTTTAGGGGTTCATCGTAAGACAACCTCGACTAAGAATTCGGAATCTCCAACATTTGAATCTTTAATCCAACACCACTTCTCAACTTAGTAAAGAATTTAGAGTGCTTTCATGGAATCAGAAGAAGAACAAAGTCTCTTTAGGTATAGAGTCTATCTCTTTAACTTCTCTCGAACTTTCTTTAGGATATGAACTTATAAAGTTCACGCCTAAAGAAAATTTGTATATACTCTTCCTTAGACTGAGCTAACTTAATTCTAATCGAGACTATTTTAGAGACAATTTAACTCTTAAGGACCCTTTGACCTCGAGAAATCTAAACAAACATCAATTATACAACAAAGCAACAATTAATCATATATAACATATAATTAATTAAAACACTTAAAAAATACAGTATTACACAAGTGGATCATATATGATAAAGAGGATGAGTTTCATGAGAATCATTCATAGTTCTTACTTAGTTTTCTCTACTTATATTTCTTTTTTAAGTTTTAAGTACATTCAATAAACTATTTTTTTACCCTCCTGAAAAAGTTAGTGATGATACAATAGTTTTAATTTTATCACACTATTTTTTTTTTTCATTTTCGTTATTAAAGACGATTTCTTTGGTCCACTAATTTTTTTTTGTCGGCTACTGTTATTGCTATTAAAACCAGTTGCCACTGAAATGGAAAAACCTTCGACATGTAAAAATAATAATATTTAACGTGCAAGTGAATAGACCTGATCAAATAACCAAATAGATAGGAACTACCTAAACATAGTAGAACCGTTAAAAAATATTTATTTTAAATTTTTAATCATAAATATTTTATTTGTGACATTCTCCCAGTAATTTAAATTAAAAAAAAACATAATAAAAATATTAAAAAAATTTGTAAAAGACTGAAAAATAATATAAAGCGAGCATAAGATTGATTTTTAATACAAAGAACCTTCCGTATTTATATAGAAACACGATTTACTTGAGCTACATCCCTTTTAACTAGATTTTGGAATAAAACACTTAATATATGTGCTAATTTGAATTGTAATTAGTGGCCTGATATGTCCTCAATTGAATTCTAATTAATTGTTGTGACTTACTTGTGTAACTTCTTTCATGAGTATTACTTAAATACTTGCCTATATCTCATAGTAATACTCACTATTAAAGGTGATTTGTGATCACCACTCCACAAATTAATGTCGTCAAAACTAAATGATATTTTAATATAAATCTTTCATTAAGCAGACAAACTTAATATGACCACCACACAACAAATTATTCTAATGAAGGAAAGGAGATTTTTTTTCCTGTAAAAGATAGACAAACTGATTTAATTTTTATTATACATATATAATAATTCAAGAATAAAAAAGATAATACAATAATTACTGATGAGAGAAAAGACACTTTATTAAGTCAATAGAATAGTGTACAATTATGTACTTAAAAAATTTTGCAAACTTACATAACCTCTATTTAATAATTTCTTGTTTTTATTTGAAAGTTTAAAATTGTGCTAAATAAAATGTACACAGTAATAGAGAATTCCTTTTATATGTAAGCATAGATAACTGCATGTTGATTAAGAACTATCAAATACCGTTAAAAAAACGAATAAAAGATGTTTATTTTATAAATTAAGAATAATTTTTCCAACGTTACTAACATAATTTACTTTCAATTCAAACTCAAATTTGTCTAAATCAATTTTACAAAATCAAAAACCTCTAAATTAGGTTTAGAACCTCTAAATTCGGTTTAGAGACATTCATATAAACACATTGTTTACTTCCCGAATTCTGAACATATTTCCTCGTATCTTATCTGATAAAACCAACCATTGTGATTTGTGAAAATGAAAAATATTCAAGTCAGTAAGCAAATAACTTCCATGATGATATCAATGCTTTTTTATACATCTTGGATCCTTTCATTTCTTTCAATTTCTTTTGAATAAAAAAGAAATGGAAAGAAAGAAAAAGATACATCTTCCAAAGTCCACCAAGGTAGTGGCTCGGGTTCGTAGTTTATGAATGAAAATATTGGTATGTACATATGGTCAATAAGAAGAGGTGAGGAACATGTGCATCTGTATTTTGTACAAAATGAAAAGTAAAAGAAAAGGAACAATGCAATCAATGATGTGAAGATGAATTGGACGGTGTTGCTGATACTTTACAAATGGGGCACCAGTTCTTCAGGCGCAGCCACTCCTGTATGCAAACCACATGAAATCTATGCTCACATTGCAGCCCCCCAACTTCATCTCCAACAACATATTCCTCCTGCATACGATGTAAATGTATCCAAATCAGATCTTGTAATAAATTATGAGTTTAATTTTTATATATTGTCACTTTAAGGCCTGCCTTGGGACAAGGCGATTGACCCGGTGTAAAACATTTTACATTGTCCACTAATCAGAAGTCATATTCATATAGTTAAAACCAACTCTATTGTAAAGCCTGGCTTGGGACAAGCCGCTTAACCCAATGATTGTAATACCTGTTTTAGGACACGAGGGATCAACCTAGTATCAATTCCGGAAGTATTGAAATAATATTTGACCAACGAAAGTCAAGTCTTAAGAGAACATATTAGCCTTTGTTTGTCAATTTTAAAGTATTACGTGAAACATGTTGGTAAAACAAATACTACTCTAAACCTCTACATGTTCCCCTTTTGAGAAAACAAGAGAAGTACTATTTCCAATGCCTATTCTCTCTCCTAAAAAGGAAGGTGTAAGGCTTTAGAAAAGGAAAATGTTTTTGGTATGTCCAAAGTGGGATAACTTTTGTTGTACCCCTTGAATTTTGAAGAATATTTTTGAAAAGGAGGAGTACGAAAAAGATGAAAGTAAGAGATAGAGAAAATTGCATACGGCGTTAATTATTTAAAATCCAAATAATGGATTTGATGTAGAAATTAGATGCAGCAATAACATTTGTGATGATTTTAAGGTTTATACGAGTCTGAAAGCATTAGTGGCTGTAGTCTTAGATTCCTTCTATTTGTGGAAATGTTGGTGACTTGTTATATGTGAAAAATAAATTAATTGGCGTTAGTTCAAAATATTTTTAGTATAGCTAGACACCGATGGAGCCTTTACAGTGCTATGAACAAACTAGTTTCTCTAAGTTAGAGAGTGAACATGGCTGTCCCTTCGACAACAGACCATTCAGTTTTTCTAGAACCAGATATGCAGATATCAATTAAAATTTGTCAAGTTGAATCCTATTAACACAAGCAGATACATTTAAACCATGATGATGTATAATGACGCCAATTTGCCATGTGAGCATCATCTTTGCTACAGTTTCAACAAATATTATAAAAATACCTGGCAAATGCAGCATTTGATATCATCCTTATCCTCATTAAAACTCTCATCTGCATCATCTGAAGGTGCAGAGTGATATATACTTCTTTTAAGACATTCTGCAAGTACTTCCTCCGTTAGAGCTGTGCTCACTGTTCCCATCCTCTCTTCTAGAGCTAAAAGTTCCTGTTATCAAACAAACTTTTGGAGCTAAGAAAACATGACTACAAAAAGAAAAGTTAAAATAACTTTAACCCCAAACATGATACATCCTCAATAATAGTAGTCCCTACTCAATGCCAAAGCCACCTCACATGACACCGTAAACTTCCAACCTCTCTCCCTTAACATACTAAGTTACTAACTGAAACCATCAATAGACCAAGGTCCTAATTCCCAATATTACTTTAGAAACATGTTCTCTTAGGAATATTTTTTGAGTTTAATGGTCATGTATTATCTGTGTAAAATATTTTACACTGTCAACCAATCATAAATTGCCATTATTACAAATTTTAAGATAATTGTTACAAAATTCAACAAACTTACTATTCATGTTAGTTTGTGAGTGAATGACAGTTAAAAGTATTTTACATTAATAGTCCACCACCATTAAACCCATATTTTTTATCCAAAATTGTTGTATCATACTGTCCATAAAGCACAAACCATTATATTTGATGCAAGAAAAAAAAATAAGAAACTTATTTGTAAAACCCCATGACACTAAAATACCTCATAGGACATGTTATCAATATCCAACCGCATGTCTCTGTGGTGATCATAAAAGTTTAATCCGTTAAGGAACAAGTTAGTCTCTAACATAAGAATTTGCTGCAAAGACACAAGATGAAAGTTGTCAAATAACTGGCCAGCTAAGTTGAGTTAACTTTTAGTCAAGAATTACCTCATGGCTTAGTTCTACATCTTGTTCAATCCTCTCAAGTGCCAATAATACCTACATACAATAAAATGTAATACTTCATTTTAAGCTCTTTCATCAAAGACCATGATATTAAATACGTGCTACATTCAAACCGAAAATTACCTCTTCAATACCATCCATATTGTGGCGTCGAAAGCTATCCCGATCTATTAGAGAATCACTGATGTCATATTCTGCAGGAGACATAGGCATAACACTACATAACTGCTCACTGCTAGTGCCTGGTCTACTATAAGAGCTTGCGTGACTTAAAGGAGTCTCCATAGAAGTATGATATGAACTGCCAGTAGCATTAAGATCGCCAGAATGAGGTGAAACGGGTAGAATAACAGGGGACTCACTGATTGCCACAGGGTTTTCATTCCCTTGGCTAGAAAACCTTCCCCTGGTATGACCACTAATTGTTCTTTGAGTTCTTACTGATGCCATGCTGCCGTTCTGGTGAGAAGGGATATTTCTAGATCTTCTTGAATCCGATATAGATATGCCATTTCTAGAGCCAGAATTCCGTCTTTCCAGTGAAGACCCAGTCATATTTTTCCCTCTAACAGTGGAGCTACTTCCACCTTCACAGTTTCCCCTTTTCATTGTGTCCTTCCTTCTATTATGGGTTGAATCTGAAGATGAATAACCAGCTGGGATGACGTCAGATATAGAGTTGCATCTAAGGTTCCTCAATCCATACTTGCTGGAAACCGCAGGTCTCACTGGACCAGTGCTTTTAATTTCTTGCCCACGCAATCCGGGTCTTTGATTTAAATTCCTTTGTGATCTAGTATTTGATACTGCACTGGAGCTTCCTACTTTCATCAGTATCGCATTCCTAGACTCTGTACTTTCCCCTTCAGCTTGAGGCCCTCTCTGAATTTCTCCTGGTGGAGGGATGAGCTCTGAAAATTCTGGTTCATCCTGTACACTACTAGTTTCAGATGAATCTGTCTCCAACTGAGAAGATAATGTTTTTTGAGGCTTTATAAGTTGTTTTCCTGGATTACTAGTCATTCTGGAGGAACTTCCAATTGCTTCCTTGCTACTTGAAGAGGACTGGAATGCAGACCTCACTGATTTACCTTTTTCAGAAGATCTGACTTGAGCAACTTTGGGAAGATTGGTTCTATTGCAACCAAATCGGCTTCCAGTTTGACCATTTCGATCTCTAGTATTAGGAGTTTCAATAAATACATGGTTCACCCCTTTTCTAGGGACTACAACACCATCCACACCTCTTTTACCAGAATACTCATCCATCAATTGTTTATTACCTTCAAATCTGCATCAGAATGACATGACATAGTAGTAATCAGATAATCAGAGACTATAGGGGGCCGTAAAATTAAAGAAAATCACGAGGATGAAATAGCAATAATCGGTATGCATAAATAACATACAATCATTCAAGATTGTCAAAATGACTGGAACTCAACTTACAGGAGAAAAGAGAAATTGGAATAATGATTTTTTACCAAAGACAATAGTTACCCGTTAAAAGAAGAAGAAAAAGGTTGTTTGAAACAAAAACATGAACAAAAGGCATTAAACCAGTGTCAATAACAACCAAAGAAATGTCTTTGTTAACATGCTTAGTTAATGGGTAAGGGATAGTTTTCTTCCTCGTAAATTGTAATAAAATGTGCAACACAGGCAATAACATTTAACAACCCATCACAGATAGCATTGATCAATTAAATCCTTTGACTAACAAATTCAAACGAAAGGCAAATTGTCACAATATTCTATTTACTTATAAGTCGATCCACAAATCCCTTGCCAGTTTCAAACTATAGGGTTTCATTTATAAAGTATATTGCTTGAACAAGCTAAGTCAGTTATATAAGATTTTGTATGCTCAATAAAACACATCTGTCAGGAGTTTGAGGTTTGAGCTCTGCCAAAGAACTTCTATTAAATAATTAATATAACAAACTTAGAAAACAGTCAATTTCAAAAAATCTGCTGCTGAAAATAAATATAAAATACAAGAGAATACATGCAGTTAATTCCACATGATAAACAAAACACTAAACTCAAATGATCAAAATTTTAAGAAAATCAGCAACAAGCATTCACTAACAGTCAATACTTCTAGTAAGAAGCTAAATTGATTAATTGAATTTTCCAAACAGCCTGATACAAGCCATGCAAACATGTTCTAGAGCTTGAAGCACAAATCTACCAAGATACACCTAGTTTGGCTACTGGAAGACTCACTCCAATGGCTTCCTTGTAGCTAGGAACATGACTGTGTGCTTGCGTATCTATACAGTTTCTCACATTTCCGTGGAAAAACTACAAAGATTTTGTACTGTGTAATACAAAAGAACAGCAAATTGCTCGAGTCTAGAAATATTCACATAATTATATAGATAGATAAATAGATAGAGATATATTTCTCAGACAGGAAGCTGCTTGTTTAACTTCTCAGAACCAAGATACCATTCAGTCTCTAAACAGTACTGTTTGACAGACATGTAAGAACAGAACAAAACATAATATATGGATTTAGTTACATGTTCGATGTATCTTAGGAAAACAACAAAACAGGACAAGGTTAAAAACATGATAAGTTTTGGTTCTGCTAAAAGGGTAGAACCAAGAACATGATAAACCATTCCATTCCCTTTTGTTCTTGTTAAAAAATACTACCAACATGAATGAACAAATTTGATTATATAATCCAACCATAGCCATATTTACACACGTTATTATCATCGTAATTGGGGTGCTAGTGGTCTCAAGGGACCCCAGAACCTCAATTATCTATAAAAAAAATAAAAATAATTAAGCTGAAAGGTTCAATTCAAAACAGGAGAAAAGGAAGCAACAAATACATGATTAGATGATGATCAACACAAAAAACGATCAAGCAAACATGCAAATAAACATTTATGAATTGATCACAGAAGAATCAACTAAGAAACTCAGTTATCAGATGAAAGTTCTCAACAACTAAAAAATATTAAAAAAAAAAATGATTAACTAAATGCGCATGATTTCATCCCAAAAAACAGGGTGTCGCTTCGTTTATCAAGGACAGTTTCACCGCTCAACAATCACAAAAATAAAATAATAAAAATTTAAATAAATAAAAACACCCTTGTTTCCGCTATTTCAGCGCTCAAAATAAGCTCAACACAGCAACGAAAACGTGACACGAAAAAAAAATTATATATAAAAAATCCTTTTCAATTAAATAAAAATAAAAATAAAAATCATAGCTCGAAACAAAAAAAAAAAAAAGTCCCCATGAATTTAAGCAACAACAAAATGAAAAAAAAAAAAAAAAAAAAAAAAAAAAAAAAAAAAAGTAAAATTTAACCAAGTTTTTAATACCCCATGTCCTCAAATTTTAGGTATAACGATGATCACCGCCACGAGAATCCAATATATTATTTATGAGTTCATTGGGGTCGATGATGATTACCCGGTTATCTTGGTTTAGAAAAGAAAAAAGGATGAGAAATTTCAAGTGAATTGAATAGCTTAACTTTTGGGAGAAACTGGGACAAGGTGACTACCTTATGGTGTTGTTGGAGACTTGGTGTTGTTCTTGTTTTGCCTTAGAAACAGAGAGAAAATAGTTGAGATGAGAGTGAGAAGGAGAAAAAGAAAAGAAGTATTTAGAGAGAGAGGAAAAGTGCAAAACGAGTGTGAATGATCCAATGCTGAGGCAGCCAAAGTTTCTTTATTTCCTATCTTTTCCAAAGCTGGACCAAAAAGGTATCAACCAAATATTTAACTAAAAAACAAATAATATATCTCCTAAATTATACTTTTACTCTTTTAGTTTATTTATTAAATTTATTTTTTTAATTATTTATGTTAATTCTTTTATCTTTTAAATTTGAACTTATTTAATTTTTTAAATAATAATTATCTTCAATTTTGAGATATGATTTTAAATAATTTTTATTAATTCAAAACTTGAAATATGTTTCATTAAATTTATTTATGTGAAAATTATTAAAAGTTTTAAAAATATAATTTTATATTATTTTATAATTATTTATGAGATATATTTCTCACACAATTTTTATTATTATTAGAGTTTTTTTTATATTCGAATGTCAATTAAATTTCATAATTTTTATAATTAAATTTAATGTTACAAGTTTTGTGTTTTTAACTAATCAAAAATTAATTCAAAATTATGTTATAAAATTAAAAATTATTATTATTTTAAAAGAATTAAATTGATCCAAATATAAAAGATAAGAGAACAAAATAAATACTTTAATAAATAAAGGATTAAAATGAAACTAAAAAATATTATAAAGGACTAAAAGTATAATTTAACCTATATAATTTATTAATGGTGCAAATATTTGAATTTGAATAATAACTAGTATTTTAATTGTGTAATGCACATGTATATTTATTATATATAATATAATTAAAAATT